TGAGTTGAGCCAATTCCCACTGTAATCCCACTACAGTAATATAATAAAATGTATTTAATCAAACTTGTGCACAGATAGTAGGTTTGAAAACAGGACTGTATCAAACACTCATAGCATCCTTTTAATGGTGTCTTTTCACTTTTGTTTAAATGAGGAGGAAGAGGAGCTGACCCCCTTCAGTCCTCCTCCCACTCTGTCCATCACAGAGGAGATCCTGGAGTTCATCAACCAGAGTAGAGCCAGAGAGGGGCTCGCTGCCATCCACACTCACATGACGGTTAGAAAACAGAACACCCACCATAACTTCACATGTGGTCAACCACGTTTGAGGACAGTCAGCCTCGAGTGGACTATTTTTCTTTCTAGCCGTACTTGTTTAGATTCAGTGAAACTGTCACACCATGTTGCGATGTCATTGATTATTCACTGATTTACTGAAGACCAACCTTTGTGAAAGCTCATGTATAAAGAGGTCAAATCCTGGGTTTTGACATCTGAACATTGTGGCTTAAAATCTTATCACATGACAAATTGCATGTTTAGCAGGAAAGAGCCTTAAGATAGACCATCCATTACCAATGACCTCAAGCAAACAACTCCTGTACTGCAAACAACTCCTGTACTGCACATGTTCTTGTTCAAGTTAGGTTTTATTAATTTAACAAAACAAACCAAATTCAGGCAGATATTTGAACAAATTCCAGTGATTTCCCTCTTTTTCTTTAAAATATTCACTAAACTGTTAAGTAACACACTGGTGGGTGTCCATATCCCACCAGCTAGGATTCATATGACTGTAAGTTTCTTCTTACTTTTTTTCCCGGTACAGATCAAGGATGAGCCCAAAGAGCCTCTATCCAACCAGACCAACTTCACCTGCCCGCTGCCCCCAGTCACCTCCAGCCAAGAACAAACTCACACAATGCCACAGGAACAGGAAAGAGCAGAGATTGAGGATGACATCGTCCAAAGTCAGACTGGAGAAAATGAGACAACAGAAAGTGAAGTCCAAGAAATTCAAGTTGCAGAAAGTCAGGTGGAAAAGGGAGCAGAAGTGCTTGGAGAAGTACAAGAAAATGATAAAGAGATGACGAAAACGAGTGAAAACGAGGATAGACACAAGGTCGTTCCACCCCAAACACTAGACCTTCATCGATTCATCTCAGAAGAGGAAGAAAGCAAAAACAAAGTCATACCGATAGAAGAAGTAGAGTCCACAACTTCCTCCTCAAATCTAGGAGCCCCTAACCAGCCCAACAAAAGATACCACCCGCCTACAAGAGGTTCCCACCTCACCAAGAGAGATAAGAAGATCATTGAAAAGATAAGAAGTTACTATGAGGCAGCAGCTGAGGCTGAAGAGGAAGAGGAAGAGGATGAAGAGCTTGCTGAAGAAGTAGGGTCAAAAAGGAGAAACAGTTTCTCACAAATTCCCTCTGGCTTGGTAAAGGAGACCATGTCACGCTTTGATGTCGG